AATCACCGTCCTCCCAACTGCGCCATTTCTTCATGTTTAAGCACGGGTTGGTTCTCGTATAAAAGCAACAAAGGGGCATGGCACTTGGGGAAGGGGGGCCCGTAACTTTGCTCCCAGAATCGTTTCGCAGATTTGGAACCCAGATTTGAGATCAGCGTTCGAAATTACCTACATCGGTATACATCTCATCTTTAATGGCCACTGCGACCTGGTATCCTTTCCTTGTTAGAGCTGTCATGAATTGTGCGTTTTTCCTTCACACTGTTTGTCTGCTACAGAAACAGCACTAAGTTTAAAGAAGTATAGAATAAAGACCTACATAAAAAAGCTATAAGTAATCGCAGAAGCCGTAGTCCAATGAAACATAGAAAATAAAGTACCAAAAGTTGAAGCATAACTATCTGAAGTGCTCTATGAAATCATCTCAGTTCCAGTGTTACAATCAAGAAGAATTAGATAAAAGTGTGTAGTACGATTTAGAATCCTGCCTGGACTTACATGAAGATCAATTTTTTGCGAGTTCAGATTTAGCAGGTACCTAAAAGATATGTGTTACTGAACATTTGTCAAAGTGTGTGTGGTACGAACCCAGCTTTAAAGGGCACATTCTGCTGAATGAGTTTTGCTAGAGTAAAATATGACGGAGAGCGATATTGAAAATTGTAGCTTCTAAACGCGGGAGTGCATCGCGAATGCTTTCCCAAGGGTTACGGCGGCTACCACTTGAGCTACCTCCTGCGATTGGCGTGGGACGATTGGAACGCTTGAATGTTTTCAAAATAATGGTCCGGTTTCGTAGACCATTGTTGCGTTATTCCTATGCCCTAGTTGGGCCCTTGAGGGTTTTTTTTTTGTTCGTCATCACTAGAAAGAATGTTCAACGCGTAGAATTAGTTTGTAAAGAAATTACGTTGCGTAAGAGTCCGAAGCGGTGAGTACGATATCGGGGAATGATGGCTCTTCCTCGCACGACCCATTGATATAGTATCGTCCACGTGAATCTGTTTGGCACATACGATCCTCATATATAGAGACACAAAAAGTTTCTGAAAGGGTCGTCAAATCGTCCCCATGCGTTTGGCATCAATTCAGTATGTGAGGAAAACTGTATAACAGGGGAGGGTGAATTTGTAACAAACATATTAAGAGGATAAAACGAAGGTTTCAATCTGGATGCAGTCCTTCCTATCGCGCGTGGCAATCGACGCGGTTTGCGAGCTGGACAACTAGTCCAGGTAATCGGGCAATCCACTGCTCATCCAGCTGATAGAAGCCCAATCGCCGCTAAAATCAGACGCCGAATTGGGGTCCTCCTTGTATTCTGCCTCAGCGTAGCGTCGTTTCGATCGGGCTTCTATCAGCTGGATGAGCACTGGAGTGCTCGAGCACCTGGACGAGTAGTTCAGCTCGTGAACCGCGTCAAATAGCCGGTGCGATGGTTGGGATCGCATCAAACATCAAACACCCCTTCAGTCTTTCGGCATGATTGTACGCGCTTACTAGTAATAGCTGGAGGGCTATTCACGACATTTGTAAAGCGGAAGTGGCAGCATTTGCGAAAAGTGGCATATTTTGGGTCAAGGACACGAAACAAAGAAATAGTCTTGTCTTGCTTTTCTGCGCTCGCGCTTTTGCGCTTTTGGAGTAGCACTCGGACTGAGGTTTCCGATGTAGATATACTGTGGAGGAGTCGCTCATGATAACGTGGTTCAGAGGCGAAGTACCATTTTTCTTGAATTGGCTTTTGCAGGAGACCACCGCTTCCGGGTCCTCGTACAGCTTGAAAATATTGGCGAGATAATGGTAACCACGATGAAGACCGACATGATGCCTCATTATAGTGAGCACCACGACTCCGATTCCAACTCCTGCAAATCGTTATTTCAAATATTTGCCAGTTTTTTGACTGTTAAACCGTTTTCGCTACAGAGAGGCTGTAGATGACAAAGACGTTCAGCGCTTTTGTGCTTTCAGTAAGAATGATTCTTGTTGACCTTAGCTTGGCTCTCGTATTGGCCAGTTAGTTAATTAAGTTAGCTCGGAAAGAGAAATTACTGATTCGAACATCGAGGGTCCACACAAGGGGCAAGAAATTTTCTTTGCTTGCTCAAAATTCCTTCAATTACTTCCATACCTGCATAACCCATTCCGTGCAGCTCCATGGATCGCACAATACCTGCTTGACACAATTGAGAAACGAAAATTTCCAAGTGAAGCAATGGAAGGACTATTGATAACGAAGCGAAGAAGTATATGACAAGAAAAAAGACTGTAAATACCCAATTATAGTACTTTCAAGTGCTTGGAAGTCCAATTGAACACCTCAGAGTGAGCATTTCGTAGCAAAAAAACGTTCTACCATTTTTAGAACGCAGCATCAGCAGCAATCGGTGTATAGGGGACATACAGCACCTCACCGACATATCGGTGAGCGTCTGTATCAGCCATGCCCATTCACTAAGATGGGAAGAGTGTACTGGCCCAAAGAATCGGACGATTCTACATATATATTTACGATCATTGTATCCAGTATCCTACACAACTGTCCGCTTTCCTTCGACTTTTACAGCTGTTCTGCATTGAAGGCACAGGTAACGATAGAAATATTTCCTGAGATCTCTTATTGTGTGAATTCGAAGCTCTCCCTTATACCATACCTCTCGTTATAAGGGCGGAGAACGCCCTGGATAGCGCACATTAAGGAACCAGAGACTGTATCGTGCGAATGCCACACCTCTAGCGGATGAGTTTCGACGAAACGAAACTCGTCCAAAAACCCATTACATGCCATTCCTCTCACGGTGATCTCGTGCAACCTCCACTTCCGCCAATTTTAAAAAGCTCGAAGCAGGCGGGGATTTTTTTTGCAACCGATGTGCTCCTCTACATCGACACTTACGCTTTTCAACCTAAAAAGGGTACCTCAAAATTATCGTGAGCTGTGCCTTTGAGTCACAAGGGCCACCAATAGTGTTGCGTATAGTCAAAAGTGGACTGTATAGACATTATTTGTTTTCTTCTATGATAATTGCAAAATGGATAGTATCGGAGTGGGCAAGTATTTTCTAACATTTCTCAAGAAAGTTTGCAAAGTAACAAAATCCGGAACGAGAAGTTAAGCAAACTTTCACGCTTATGAAGGGAGAAACTTAGAACAACGCACATCCTCCATGTTTGAGCGCTTGCAGTGGAAATACCCATAATGAATCTGTAGAAAGCATCAAACCGAGCATCATGAAGGTGTCGACAATTGTCGTCATCCAAGTGCCCAGCGATCCAGAGCTTCTCGTATGATACTCTTAATAAACACCGCAATATATCGTAAAATATCTAACATGGTAAAATTCTGAGAGATCGAAGGTTTACGGTCAGCCTAAAGTGGTAAACGACTGTGAAGTTTTATAAAGAAATAAGGAAATCGCAATGCCTACCGACGGGCGTAAGCCCACCAAAAAGCGAGACGCTCACGCTAAGAAGGACATGAGCTCATTTCTCCTCTGCTCAAGCGAGTGGGTTACTAGGAGATTCTACCAGAATAAACTGCGGTTAACGCCGGAGTATTCTGTTACCGATTGAGAGAGACCGTGTTGCGAGCCTTCGTTTCACACAGTATAAGGAAGTTTTCGATTATGATGAGTAATGCTGGACTGCCCCGCGCGAGGACTCGATGAATGAGCTGGAAGAACTTGGTATAATCTCTCTCCCGCTCCCCTCATATTCACCTCACCTCAACCAATATTACTGCCATACTTTCAAACCTGCTATAAGAGTAAAAAATTGATCAACTGTTGAGAAGTCAAGTAAGTGGAAGATGAATAGATTGCATCACGTCTCTCTTCATATTGGAGGGATGAAGTCAATTCCCGGTCCGGTTGATGGAGAGACATTGTGGCTAAGAAAGGCCGCTATCTTCATCACTGATTTACGTTTGTTGCTGTAGTTGTTTTGTGTAAAAAAACCGGCTGGATTTTCTCATAATTTTTCGTATACTCTAATATTCAGCAACCGCCCTGGTCGAATGGTCTTCACTATGTCGTAATACTTGTCCGGCCCTCCTGATCTTTGATTACTTTAAGTGAGCAATGTTGTTCTTGACCTTGGTTTGTTACATGGCTTGTAATTGGGGGTTCCCCTCTGCACTTGCATGTCGCGAAATTCCGAGCACCGTGCTCCCCAAGCACGCTGAATGATGGCTGACTTCGTGGGTTCATCCTGCTTCCGTAAAATGTCGCAATAGATACTCATAGCGAAAGCATACAGAGACATTCGTTTCTCAGAGGTAGCGTCAGTTACCAATCTGTTCCAATCTGTCATGAATATCGTCTTGCGTCTTGCCTGTACGAAAGTTTTCCCAAACCGAGGGACGTCAGAAATAATGGCAACCTGTGCTCTCGCGGTACGTCAATGAGTTTCATGACGCTGAATGTGATCGATTGTACTGACCCTCATCGGCACCTTGCTCACTCGTAGAACTTCCCTTCATCCTTATTCTGCTGTTGCGGATGAGTCGTGCGAATGGTCTAAAGGCCACACACAGCGTGCAGAATGGGAAATAATTGCAAATAACATATGGATCTCCTTCTTTGCAGCAACGGCTCTCCCCGGTCCTTACGGCTCCGGCTTCCACAAGTGCAGTCGAATTTGGCCAGCACTCGTTCCTCCTGTTCGATGTTCGGTAATAGTAATTATAAGCACGATGTCGTTTGCAAAGCGGAAATGATGGAAGAAGCTGCCGTCGACCTTCACTCCCAAGTCTTCTCATTCTGAACGACGCACGATTTTCTCGAGAGTAGCACTGAAAAAATTGATGAAATGGTATTTCTCTGGCAAATCTCTCTCCTCACTGTCTATGGCAATGTGGGCTCTGCTCGTGAAAATGATGTACAGCTGACAGGGCTTTCTTATAGATTGACTAGAAACACCATGGTTGTCCAACGCTTCAATTACCGCTTCTGTTTCGACGCATCAAAGGCTTTCTTCAAATCAATGAACGTAAGACTTAACAGCATTTTGTACGCTCACGATACTTCAATGAGTTTTGTGACAGTGTGAACCCTTTCCGGACTCGCTCACTCAAGTGCTCTCCTTCATCCTCAATCTGCTAATGCTGCTACGGATAAGTTGTGTGAATGGTCTGTAGATTACAGACAGCGCACAGAATGGGAAATAATTGCAAATGCATATGGATCTCCTTCTTTACAGCAACATGGTCTTACTAGTTTGCCACTACGTGGGCACTTTGCATTCTGCATGAGGAGCCTAGCTAGACCTCTGGCGATAATAGGTAGAAGACTTCTCATATGTTCTGGTTTTATCCACATGACACGGGCGCCGTACAACTCTTCATCGACGTGATGGCATGTTGAATTTCGGGTGGAGAACCCAAAGGAGAAGTATATTTGGCCTGATAAGATAAGACTAAGATAGCGAGTAGAAAGGTAGATGTGGCTGTCGAAGAAGTAGGGGTAGAGGTGTAGATGACCTTCTGCATTGTCTTCGAGATGCAGTGACTGCTGCGTCAGGACGAGGAAGGGAAGTCATCTTGGTCTTGTAATTGGCGAAGCTCCGTCGGGGTTTGCGAATGCTCTTTTCGACCCCGGCGGCTTTGCCCATATCTGCATCCCTTCTCTCTTTGTGATCTTCCTTTGTCGCTTCTCTGCATAGCTTCGCAAGCTCGGACCTTTGTTGACGAGAGTGCCTGTAGCTCGCGCGATTCCACGCTGGCGTATCAGCTCGAGAGTCTTTAAAGAGAGTCGTCTCTTGGTATCTTGTGGACTCCCTGCTTTTCTAACACTATTGTGAAGATGTTCGACAAGTCAGTTGTATTCATCATCGATTACGTAGACTTTACATTCACTCGCAAGGAAAGCGGAGCGATTCCATGATGGAGGTCTTGAGGCTTCGTTTCCTGAACTTCATAGCTCTTTCTCCACGCGCTCCACGAGAATCAGAATCTAGCGCGGAGGAGCCAACGGTCTGATCCCGTGTAAAACTTTGGAGCAACAGCAGCATCAGTAACGCAAAACCTCCGACTCAATACGACTTGAGCTTTTCATTCTGGTCTGTCCACCAAGTGGTTTCCATGTCCACCGTATGTGAGATAGCTTCGGGAACTACGAGTTACCATGGATGGTGTGGGTCGACATGATAAATCCAAACAGCCTTTCACCCTGTTCATTCAATTTTATTCCGTCTTGATGTGGAGTCCTTCTGGGGACGATATGGGCGTGGAAAAAAACGACGATGGTCTTGAAGAAAGTAAGGGAAAGTAAGGTCTTCTCTGTAGAGCCTCACCAGGGTCCATATAAAACGTTTACAAATCCTCTTCTTCGTAGCTTGATGTTAGTGCGTAGGCAAAAAATATGGCTAGAGCTGGGGTTGGGCCATATCTTTTCAGTGGCAAAAGTTCGACTCGGGTTGTGAAGCTTTCGTACGAATTGATGCTCTAACCAAATTCGTATTGAAGAGGATACACACGCCGCTCTGCCGTGGCACGGTCCAAGAAACAGTTTTTCTCCAGTCTCAAGTACGGCGTACAGTGAGCGATGCCTTCTCTTCTAAGTCATTCCGATGGCTTCTACTTGCTATACTGCTTCGCATAAAAAATTGATCTTAAGGTCACAAACGTCTGCAACTACAACACCTGAACTAGAAAAATTTTGAAAACCTGGTTACTTGGCCTGAACGATAGAAACTTTCAGCAACTACTTCACTTGGAGCTCAAGCATCCAGTGAAAGTTTCAGCTGAGGAAGTCGAACTTACATTTAATTTCGAAATAACATTCAACATTCAGAACAAAGTATTCAAGGTTTCTGTGCTTTGATTGGAAGAGCGTAAATCGATATCTGTTCCCACATTTGAGAATGGCGAACAACGAAGATTATAGTAAGTTTACATCTAGTGGGAAGTTTCTGCCGAATTAGTTTAGCTGCGCAACCTTCAGTACTTCACTATTTGGACAGTCATGAAATCATTAGCTTCAGCTATTTCGCAGCCTCAGAATCACTGGGTATCCCTGATATTCTATCCTGCTAACTTTCGATTTTATTTATCTAGCTGACTTTCAACTAATTCCATTTCATTAGTTAGTTAATATATGCACTTGATGCGCACAGCGTACTCACGGTTAGCTGCCTCAAAAGCCCTTTCCTTTTCGAGTTTTGCTTGCATCATCTGAAAAAATCTTTTTGACAGTTGTGACAGCCAATGTGAAGTCCCACTTCAATACAGTCAACTAACTACTGAGAATCAATACCTAAATGCCTATTTTGCAAATATTGATTGTTAAAAGTGTGAAGTTTACTATTTCATTCTTTGATAGGATAATTTGGTTGGCGTCGTGAACATATCAACCACACGGAGATACTCGTCTTTCCGATGTTGGATGTCATTTTACAGGGAAAGATACCAAGTTGAACTTTCAGAGCGAGGCGTGCTTTTCCAAAAGTTGTTTTTGAATGGTGACCTCATATCTGCTTCTCAGAGCTTGCTCAGTTCTCTTGACGGAACTATGAAGGTGATTCGAGATGAGACCCAACACAAGCGAACGCAAATGAACAATGGAAATGTAACAGATTCTCCGACAGTAGCTTGGAGCAGTCGTGAGTGTGATGTTGCATGTGCGGGGTACCATAGGGAGAGTTTTTTTTGGAGGACCAGCCTATTGCATTCGTGATGCTCTTCTGTTGAGATCCAAAAGTCTATTTTGCGTCGATTTGATCTTGTTCTAGGGCAAGAAGGCGCAGAAGAAACTTCTGAGCTTCGACAAGAGTTTCGAATGTAGGAGACTGGTTCTCCACAGAGCTCTCCCTGTTCTGAGCCTGTTTGCAGTGATTTCTTTTCTCCATGAATAATGCAATATCGCTTCAACTTTCTTGTTTATTTTTTGTACATCTACACTTATTATTCACAATGCAATGACTTTTATGTCCGTCCACAAACTTTTTCATTGCGATAAAGGTAGTAATATGTATAGAGAACCCAGCTCTATTCTACATTTCCTTCTTACATATAAAGCAGTCACTTGGTGGGTAGATTAAAGTAGTCAGTACTGCGCAAAGAAATGAGTGACGTGCAGTAAAGCGAGTACTTCAAAACTGTGATTTCGATCTGTGCTGGGATCGTGCTATGTATGTCTGTACAGAAATCGGAGGTGATGATGTAGTTGTGAGACCTGTTGCCTTTTTTCAACGTTGAACGCTAAAGCGCAGATAAGGAGATGAGCTCATAATTGAGCTTAGAAATCTTTTTTAGCGAAAAACAGTTTCAACAAAACAGCGAAACAGCAAACAGTACAGTTTTTTGACTTGAGCATGAGGTATGAAGGAGCACTGGGTGAGGGAGTCAGTTGAACATTCTACTCCTACTCCATGTAGTTCTTCGCACGAGGTAATCATCTCCCCGAACCCCGGCGCTTATCTTCTCCTGAGCCTTGGATTAAAACTGAATTTTTCCTCTAGAACCGTTTCCAAGTCTTCAGGCAATGTCACGGGTTCATTATAGGCAGCGTAGAAGTTGCAGGGATGGCTATACACGGCACGCACCCATTCTAGTGTCAACCGCTTGCACATAATATGCGTTTTACTCGTTAGGCTACTGCGAGGAACTCTCTTAAGCTACTGAGCACTAAAACATTTAGCGCTTTTCTCTTACAATTAGACTACTTGGGTGCCGGGACCTCTCCCCGAATTCCCACGGCAAGCGGCAAAGGACAAAGGCGGCTACCCCATCCTTGCACTGGGCCGGCCCGCGAGCGCGACAGCCTGGGGCGGCGCTTGCCCCTTGTTTACAACTGAATTTCGACCGA